AAGCTAAAATAAAAAAGGGCCTTTGATTACCTCACTGACTCTCAAAATGTCAACCAGTTCCTCATAGAGAGTGTCTCTGTTCTTTTCTAGAAAGCCTCTGCATTGATATTCCACCTGTTAATGTTCAAACACAGAGATACAAATCAATCAGGAATCCAAGAGGCTTATTAATGTATAACAGAAGAAGTAACTTTGTTGCTAAATCATGTGTGAAACGGGTTCCTAAGGATTATTGGGCTGGACCTTGTCAGCAAAGTGTTGAATCACAAACGCCTCATTTGATAACCTGGGCTTCTCAAACAGAGGGTTTGCATCGAGATATTTGAAGAGCTTTTGCAGCCAGCTTCGATCCGTGCCCTGAGGAAACTGTGGAATCAAATGAAATATGTCAAGGATGCAGAACAAAACAAACATTAATAGTTAAAGTTCTCATCACATCCATTCAATTACCAAACATTCTTCATCAAGCAAATCCAGGATCCCCATCTTTGCTTCAATCAGGTCAATGACCGGCTGGTTGTCATAGAAATCTATCAACGTCCATGGGATGTCCTCTTTCATGTACTCCTCTTGCTCCAGCTTGAACACGTGCTGATTGAAATGAATAAAGACAAGAGAATGACCCTCTGAGTGGATAAAGGTTTGTATGCAGTGTTTTGCAATGATTTGGGACGAGTGTGAAGTTTACCAAGTTAAACTGCTGCTGAAGCTTCTCATTTGCATAGTTGATACAAAACTGTTCAAAGCTGTTGGTGTCAAATGTTTCAAACCTGAGGGCAGAGAAAAATCAAAAATAGCAACTAAAGTGACCTGAATCATCAAGCAGCTGAAAAAAAAAGTGATGTATCTGAAGTACCCATAAATGTCCAGAACACCAATGAAAGCGTGTTGCTTTCCTGGAACCTGCAGTGCTGTGTTTATCTTGTTGATGATGCAGTCAAACAGGTGAGCATAGATCTGCTTGGCTAGGGCATCTCTGGCGTTTACTGCCCGCTCTCTGGGCACCGGCTTCACCACCGTCTCCGCCACCAGAACAATCCTCCGGTGGCACAGCCAGCGAGCCAAACACTCTGCACTCACACCCAGCAACTCACAGAAGACTGCCAGGTGTGGATCGCTGGGCTGGAAGATATGGAAACCATATTTTAAGATCTCACCTCATAAACAAAATGCATAGCTGAAGAAGTTGGGACTCACTGGAACTGATGATTTTCCATCTCCAGAGTTTTTGATTTCCAAATTCCCCAAATGCAGAACTGCTGCCAACACTTTGAACACATCTGACTGAAAGTCCTCCATCAATCCTGGAGACGGAGAGAGAGAGAGCAAGGTTACATTAAGCCACACTTAAAGCCAGTTACAGTCTGACAGATTACGTGTTTTTTTTTACCCAGGAGTGAGAAGGTCCGCCGAGTCTCCTCCATGTCTTTCCCATCATTCACACCTTCAATAGTGATCTCACCGCCCATGCAGGTGTACGCAAACTCCTCTGCACTCACTGATTACAGGAATATATGATCATATCATCATACAATCTTATAATACAGTTATACAATGAAAATGTGTAAGATTGGACTGTAGAATAAACCCTCAGGACAGACACTCACACAGTTTTAGATTCTTGAACTCAGGCAGGTGAGCACAGGAACACATCTGGTAGAAGATGTGATAGTTTCGCTCGTTGTCTGCCTGAATAACAAAGGTATTATTGTTATGGATCAGATATATACTATAAAGAATGTGCTAACAACATCTTTCATCTTATACACTACCTGAAAAACGACTCTGGATTTCTCTAAGAGATAGGTCCTCATGTTCGCTCCAATGATCCGATACCGCTTGTCAAAGCCGATCTCTGTGTATTTCCCAAAACGGCTGCTGTTGTCATTCCTGGTGGTCTTTGCATTTCCTATTGCCTGAGAGAAAATCCCCTCAGGTCATCATTTCTCTTTTGAAGTTCTCACAAGGATATCAATTATCTTAAATCTAGCTCACCATAAGTTGTCTTAAAAAGTAATTGAGTGCTACATATACGTTTTTCGTTGTCAGAGTACTGAAACATTGCCCATTTATCAACCTTTCCCAACTTAATAAGCTATTGTTAGCTCTGTTCAAATACAAAATAAATAATGCCATTTTTTAAAGCACTGTGAGCTGTACTTTTAGTATAAAAAGTTCTGTACATATAAAGTCATTACTATTGTTTATTGGAGATTTTACTAAAACATACCTCTGTTATCGGATTGGATGCCAGAACTTTGTCTTCAACTCGAGTCTGACTTCCAGATTTGCTTACAACAGCAAAGTACCTCATAGCGTACCGAGCAGACACTGTTTTCCCGGCTCCAGATTCACCACTGACGATGATGGACTGGTTCTTATGGTTTCTGATAATAAAAAAACATATATACAACTATAACTAGACTGTATATCCTACTTTATGATCAAACCAGCTTTTATTTACCTGGCCATCTGTTTGTATGCTTCCTCTGCCACTGCAAATATGTGAGGGTCCATGTCTCCCATGTTCTGGCCTGAGTAGGCATGAATGATTGCATCTCCATAGATATGAAGCTGTTTGTAAGGATTTACAGCTACCAGTATAATACCTGAAAATGAGGAAACAGTAAACTGAGCCAGGATCACACACACTGTAGTGCTTATATAAAGTGTGCCAGTGAAAGGAGACAGTACCACAGTAGGTGTAGATGATTTTGGACTCCACAAAGCGCACTTTAAGGTTGTGCAGGACTGCAGGTTCATGCAGGTAGCTGAGAGCCGTGAGGTCGTTCTCCCCCACCAAGATGTCCGGGTTGCGAAGAGGAGGGAGTTGTGGTTTTGCCGGGTCAACAGGGTAGTGGTTCTCCTGTACAGAGATTATGTAAAGTCAGCTGTCACTTCCCACCATCATAAATCCATTGCAGTTGCATGTGTATGTTTTATTAGTCACGTTTTACTTACAGTGCCATCTTCAAGAAGCAAGTCAAGAACATTATCTCCAAGATGAAAGTCTTTCAGAATCTCAGCTGATCTCCACACATGACCTGCGTCTGGTATCCACACTCTGTTGTACTGGAAAGTTTTAAAAGTTACAATTTAAAAATATATTAATGTTTACAATAGTTGTTAAAACAAATAACACTGTAAATGTAATGATGTACTTCTCATTCATACATTCAGTACAGTTTTATTAACAAGTAATAAAGATTCAGGTGACATTTAAAAAGTTAAGTAAAACAGTTATATGACAATATAAATCCAGCTTCCTCATAGTTATATCTCTGCAACCTGCCAGAGCCCTGAGAAAGTTTCCATATGTTTTTGTGAAACTACATTAAGGTATTATTTTCTCTATAGTATCACAGACATGTAACTTTTCTCTTACCTCGGTGTAGAGTTCCAACAGAGCCATGTTTAATCTTTATTGTCTTAGCCTCTTTTGTCAGTATATTTAATTATCAGCTGTTGTATCATTGTGCTTTCCAGGTTACCAACGAACTCTCTCCCTCCCCCTCACAAGTTCACAACTATGCGAGAATCACCAGAGTCAAGAGAGATATATTTACTTAGCTTACCCGGTTGTAACTTTCAAAATAATGGCCAAAATATCTCATTTGAAATTTAGTATAAATTGTATTTCACTATTAAGGCATACTTTGTTTTAAATGGCAAAAAAATGTATGGCTGTCTGACAGGTTCAATTGTATGTAGGCTATGTGGGGCTAAACTGATCTGTAAAAATGTGTTTGGAAGACACATTTGAGGAGTTACAAGGAGAAGAAATTAATATGTTATACATTTATATTTAACACTTTTTTCATTACTCTTTTATTTTTCTGTAAAATAATGGATACCCTCATCTATTTGGACCTCTGAAAGTAGACATTGCTTCCTTTTGAGACGTAAAAAGTGAACATTATTGAGGCTGCGATAACATTAATAATCTCAAAGTGACAAACCTGATGCTTTTATTTTTGAAGGCCTCGTCCCTCCTGCTGCAGTTGTTTCTCTTCCTGTTTGACAGTCGCTCACCTGCTGCGGACTTTGACTGAAGACTCCGCCCGCTCGTCTTGTGACAGCGGCTGACAGAGTGGGAGTGTTCCTTCAAGGATTCTGACAACAATAGAAACCGGATGCTGATCCTCTGTCAGCTCACCATGAGGATGCACTTCAGCCACTGCTTGACCACAAGGACTTGAGCAAAGAATGGAAAATATGACATGGTTATGATACGAGTTTTACAATATAACTGCACTTGTTGAGGAAACAGTGGGAATGCCAGGGTTGTAACTTCTACAAGGAAACACATTCCTGGTGTGCACAGTCTGAAGCTTTTAAAAGATGGATTAATCAGTTACGAACTTTTAGGTATTCACAAACACAGAGCAATGATGAACAAGGAAAAAATGACATGCTCTTGCTGCATGTACGGTCCAGATATCACTTTAGACTGGGAGAAAAGAGTTACACTACACTGCATATACATTTTCTAGATCCTACATCCCCAAACAGTTTCCTCTAAAAAGTGGATTCAAGCTTCATTTGACAAATAGATGAGGATTAGAGTGTGCATACAGTATTTACCATTGTAGGCCTATACCTGATAACACGACTGATCATTACAACAGTGAGTGTGCTAGTGTCAACAAAGACAATACTTAAACATCATTTAAATATTCTAAAAACTCAATGTGGGACTCCCTGTTGTTTCTTGAACTTCGAACAAACCCCACTGAGCTTGAGAAACCAGATCCAAAGCAACTTCTGAAGTAGTGAAACTCTTTGTGTTGTTCTGTTAAGCCCTTCAAAACAATCTTTCTGAAAAGCCAGCCATTGATGTTACAGACAATATTGAGAACTGTAAAATACACATTTTATATTAGTCGTTACAGTAATATATGAAGTTACAGAAATAAAACAGAATCTCATCTTCAGACATTTTAACATTTAAATCCAATGCACAATACAATTTTAACTTCATGGTTATTTTTTTTTTTTTAAAGATTTGTCCATCAAAACAGTCCTAGCATACATTCATCTATCCCAACAAACTTGCATGTTTTATAATTTCTCAAATGTCCTTACTTATATCTTATATTAGGAACATTGTGAATACCTGTTTTAGCAATAGATGACCTTAAAAACACTTTTCTTGCAGATTCATTCAGTTCTGAGTCTTTGGCTGTGCAGTGCTGAAAAGCTATAACATAGATGCATGTAAACAAAGTCGTCTAATTCTGCAGCAGCTCTGCAGTAATCAGTGACATTACAACGTGTAGAGACTTTGGTGTTTCTCCTCTCGTAAACACAATTCAGTCTCAGAGGTTTCTGGTCTAGATGCGGGCGAGGAAGCCCAGATTGAGGCTGGCGGGGATCTGGATGGTCTCCAGAGCAACAGAGGAGGGAGTGAAGGGGAGGGAGACGGAGAAGATCTTTTTGGTGTCCATCATCAAAGTGGACGACTCGTCTCTGTCTTTCAAAAGGTTCTAAAATGTGAAAAAGCAGATTATAAAAAGCCTTACTTAACATATGAAATATTGTACAAGTCTATCTAAACTGAAAGTATGATTTAGGAGCCACATCATGAATGTTAGGAACAGGACCTGTAAAATCCCATTTGTTATTTCTTGTAATTGTAAAAGTAATTTCTTTCTGATTGTTTTGTAAAAAGCAAACAAACAAATGAACAAGACAAACATGTCGCTGATGACGATGACCTAATATTTTATTTATAAGGAAAATGTATGCTAGAGGGCGTAGGACCAGAAACGAGTTTTTAAGCTTCTTCTTGCCCCTGTTGAACATGACAGAGACTATTTGAGAATGTATTTATGTATTTTTTAATTACAATTATTATTATGAGTGAAAAAAAAGAATATATATATATATTATTATTGCTGTATGTTTGGTTTCTGACATGTTCAATAAATTTAAAAAAAAAAAAAAA